AAAAAAAAAAAAAGAAAAAAGAAAGCCAGCAAGGCTTATGACGGTCTGGTCTGGCTCAGGTGCTGTGGGAGGGGTTTGGGAGAGTTGACTAGTCAGTATTTCCTTCCCTTTAGTCTGTTCCAAAGTAACGCAGGCTTTGCAGTTGGGGTTGTGGACTCAGTCCCCTCTCTTCTTTCTTCACTTCTAACTAAGAACCATCACGGTCCTGTGTTATGCGGGTTGATGGTGAACACATTTGGTGTCAATCCTAGGTCTGTTACCCCTAACTCTGGGGTCTAGGCCAAATTACACAGCTTTAGTCTCTTTTTCCCTGTACCAATAAAATTGTCATTTTTGGAGCGCTAAATGCACTAGTGTGAGACACTCTGCCCATGTTTTTCTTACTCTCAGAATGTCTCTGTGACATAGATGTGAAAGATGAAGAAACTGAGGCTTACAGAATTTCTGTGACCTGCCTTACACCCAAAGGGAGAAAGTAGGAGGGATGACTGCAAAGCCCCTTCCAGCTTCCTGCGGCTTTGCGTCCTCTACCTCAGGTGGGAGCTGCACCTGCTCTCCGGGGATCAGGCACTTGCTGTGCTGCCCAGCATAGGCGGCAGCTCCACAGCTAGAACACTCAGTATTCTTTCATTTGGGGTTAGATTTGTTGTTGTTGTTGTTCTAGAGATGGTACCCCAAAAAGGACACTGATAAGGATTTTCAAAATTTAGTTCCATATTCTTAGATTAAACTTCCTAGACAGTGTTTAACACAGAATGTGTTTATTGTGATTTTGAAAACTGAAATGACAACAAAGCTTTCTGTGGCTCCTTTTTGTCGCAGAGTTACCCGCCCACGTACAATGTCAAAGACATGCTGGTGCCAACCGCGGTCTGGAGTGGTGGTCAGGACTGGCTCGCCGACGTCAACGACGTCAACATCTTGCTGACTCAGATCACCAACTTGGTGTACCACAAGCGCATTCCCGAGTGGGAGCATCTTGACTTCATCTGGGGCCTGGATGCCCCTTGGCGAATGTATAATGAAATTATCGATCTAATGAGGAAATACCAGTGAAAGCCAGTTGGGAAATGTACCAACAAGTCAGTGGTTCAGTCTTACGAAAGAAAATGTGTTTGCTTAATTTCTGTACAACATTTGTTTTCTTTTTCCAAGTCTTTTGTATTTTTATATCCAAAAAAATTATGATGTTGAAGATGCCCAGTTGTTTCTAGTTAGAATTAGAAACACACTAGCTATTTTCTGTTTAATTATGGCTGGATGTGAAGCTAGTGTCTCAACCATAGAGTTGTGTGTTCAGTTTTTAAAAAATATCACTGATATATGAAAAAGTCATTATAACCATTCTGCTTATTCTTAAAACATACTATATTGACTTTTTACCCACACATGGGTCAAATACCCCTAAGAATTTTTAAATCGGATCATTCACTGGTAAAAAAAACATCTGTCCCTGACTTGAGCTCAGGATAAAAGTACCCAGTTGTCATCTTTTTGCTCTCCAGTCTAATGGTCCTGCATCTAGGGATCTAAGTAACATTTTTTTTTCATGCAGTAGGTTCATAGTCAAAGGCAGTCTTATCTCAGCTCTGCCAATAGTAAAAGATTTCATGATGAATTTTGTCAAAACTAACTGTGACAACTGTTAGTAAGCACATGTTTAAGCTGCTTAGGCCAAGCAAAATAATTTGCTGGAATTTTAAAAAACAAATAGCACTGATTTTTTAAAAAAGAAACTGTATCTTAAAGAGCTTGAAGACTAATACACTGAGCCATCTATATTCGTGAACTCTAAATTTCATGGCAGATCATAAGTCTACTTGTCTGAGAAGAAAAACCCTGTGGAGAGACCACACCACATCTCCCCTAAGATTTGTACACTCTTTAAGCAGCTGCTGTGGTTCAACAATGATGTCTGTGTGAAGCCAAAGCCCCAGGGTCCCCCATGAGAAGTGTCCTAGTTCATTTTCACTCAAGTGAACTGTGAACGTGAATGTTTTCAGATGAAACTTCAGCTCAGGGATTCATTTCATTTTTTGGTTTTATACATGTATGTATGTTTAGTACACTTGCTTTGCACTGGTATATCCAGAAGTCTATATCCATTTGCTTCTGCTGCAACACCGTTTCTTTCCAATACTGACTGATGGATAAAATGACAATTGATATGTTTTTCTGTTATAGTTACTTTAGTAGCAATAATAATAGTTTAGTTTTTCTGTTATAGTTACTTAGTTGCTTGCTGTTGGCTAATATAAGGAGACAGAATAATACTACTTTGTAACATTTAAAGAGTCTTAACACTTTTCAATAAAACCTGGTGAGCCTTATAGGCTTTAAGGATTTTGTGTGTATGTTTTTTATGTAATAGCCATTCTATTCTTCCCTTCCTCTCTTGGCAGGACGATACTTTCCTTTCTCTTCTCCTCTTCGTCTGTCCTCCTCACAAACCTTACTGATAACTGGTCACGGATGTTTGTTCTTTTTTCTTGGGGAGGAGAGAATGGTATGCTTTGTAAACATGGGCTTTGAATGGTATCTGTAAGTGTGGCTCATCTTAGTGAGGCTGTGAATGGAGACTGATTATCAGGTCTGTCTGGATGTTCCCCGGTGCCCCACTTCCCAGTGTCAGGAACGAGACCGAAGCAGGTGGATTTCTTGAGCTCAGGAGTTCAAAAGCAGCATGTGCAAGAGTGAGACCTCACCTCTGCTAAAAATACAAAAACCAGCCGTGCGTTGTACCTCCTGGGTAGCTTAGACTACAGGCAAGAGGCAAGAGGATTGCTTGAGCCCAGGAGTTTGAGGTTGCTGTGAGCTATGATGATGCCGTGGAACTCTACCCAGGGTGAGAGTGAGACGCTGTCTCAAAACAAACACAAGGGTATTGGTACCAAGTCAAATCAATGGAGTGATCACAGACACAAAGCAATCATACCACATTTCCTGCAAAGCAAAGGTACATCTCTGAAGAAGAGATGGATCATTCTCTGCCAAGTGGAGAAAGACCCCAAAGTTTGAGTGGATAGTGTCTTTTATGTGCTTACTAGTTTGTCCACCTTTCTCCTGGCAGGATTGGTGATTGACAGGTGGGGGCTAGATAATAGATTACATGACAGGTTTCATAATGGGTTAGGTTATGTAATAGTTTCCTTACTACACAGGTGTGCTCCTAGAATCCTTCATGAATACCCCCTCTATGGTATGTTAATTAGATGGTTATAAGCCCAAGGTCAGTTAAAGGTCACTAGAAGCTCCTGACTGTGTATGTTTCCACCAGGGAACATTTCCTAGCTGCAATTTGGTTCTTAGCTACAACGGTTTTTGCTGTCTGACCTCAGCCATGACCTCAGCCACTTGTTGGCCACCTGCTTTACCCTCTGCCAGACCTAACCAACTAGGCAGTGATTATCCCATCTATGTGGAGCAGCTGTGTGCAGGCCCATGGATTCAAGGACTGTCTGTCCAACTCCCTCCTTGAACAAATAAGGAAACCAAAGTCAGCAGAGATAGGTCACAGCAGAGCTCCCCCAAACCTAGATATGAGGTTCAGTGTGTTCTCCCACTGCTTTGAGGGCAAAGGCTATATCTTACTCATCTCTGTAGACCCAGACTCTAACACAGCCTGGCATACGGTGAGCCAAATACATGTGGTTGGACAAAATGTGTGAAAAGTAAGGGCCTTCTTCATTTAGTCAAATGAAACAAATGTACAAGTAACATCTGGGAGGGTCTAAACACTGATTTTGGACTCAGTACGATTTTTCATGGCACCTGTAAAAATAAGTGTTCTAGATACAAAAGATGTGCATCCTTAGGAGAATTCCACCCTCCTCATGGCCATACGTCCTCCCCAAATCCCTTATCTCACCTTTGATCAAGGCAAACTGGTTTGGTCAACTAGGGACAAATACTCTACTTGGGTAGGGATGAAAAGAAAAGGACAGTGAGTGAGTGTTTTTGTCTGTTTGTTTCTACCAGTAGCAGGTGAGAGTTTGCCAGAGCATTGGCTTTGGTGCTGTGCATGACTTGGTTTCTCTAGTTCTGGTTGTTGCAGGGGAGGCCGTCAGAGATGTCCTTGAGAGCTCACGGTCAGTCAGGCTCTCACACCAGACAGCAGAGTGAGGAATGAACAAGGTACACGTTCTGGAGTCCAGCTGACTTACAAAGCAACCAAGTTCTCTACCTTTCATAGAGGAAGATACCACAGAAACCTCCTTATAAAAATACAAGTAGTAGGGAGCGTGGGAAGATTTGCCAGCCAAACCAAAAGTGTCCTCTTGTGGCAGATTAAAAAATGATTTTTCTTCATTCTCAACTGTGACTTTATTTGGAAGCCCTTCATTTTTCTTGGTAAACACACATCAGAAAAGAGTTCCAAATGGGTAGAATATTAGCAAATCTTCTCCTTGCCCCACAAATCCGTAAACATATTTTTGTTCTGCTCAAAATAGGATGCAGCAAAGCATCTCATTTAAGAAAGAACACAGCCAGAGGACCTACCAAAATGTCGTTGGATTTGTTGCTGCAAAAGCTCCAACTCTCAGCCAATGATGAAACAAAACAATGCGAACGCAGCCAGGATTTTAAGGCTACAAAGGACATATGCTGGCTGCTATGTCTGAGCAAGAGGACCCCAACAAAGGCAAACAATCAATGGAACTTAACCATGGCAAGGACAGCTGTGCAACATCTGTGCCTTGGTGGAATCCTCAGAGAAAAGTTGGGAAAGAAGAGAGAAAAAAAAAGAAAAAGAAAGAAAAGAAAGAAAAACCAGCGAGTTAGTTTACATGGAAAAACAAGGGGTTGCCAAATAAAGTCACACTTGAGATTAAAGAATAATTTTTTTTTTATTAAATTTGCCACAAGAGAGCACTCTTGGCTTTGCTTGCAAATCTTCCCAAGCTTCCTACTATAATACTTTTCTTTTCGTAAGAAGATTTTCTCTAGGGCCTTGCTCTATGAAAGATTGAGAACTTTGTTGCTTTATTAGCCAGCTGGCAAGCTGATGATGGGGAAGGCCAACCATGGCTGTGGTTATTTCTATCCAGGATTTTGATAATTTTGGCCTAATGAATAACATCTGAAAAATGCTGAAGAAAATGTTGCTGTCCCCCAAATGTGGCTGGAAATTAAAAATTTTCCTGATAGGTAAATGGGTGCTCAGAACCAGGACTATACAAGAAGGGGAAGTGGGTGGTGGGTAGAGAGGATCTCATGCTGTTAAGAACTGAAATTTAGACTAGTGACATTATCTCCCAATAATGATTATTTTGTGTTTGTGGGTACTAAAAGTATTAATTTAAAAAATGTAACCATTCAAAACATACTGTGATTTGATCATTTTAACATGGGAGAGGTTTTCAAAATAGAAATCGTTCTGCTCTATTGTGAAGCCTAAAATACAACATTGGGTACTAATTATTCTGATTTTAAAAAAAATCATTGAAGAATATTTTATTGTGTTAATGCCAGGTACAGATTTCAATTCATCTCCAAACTGAAAAAATAAAGCTCCTTTCTCTGCCCAATCATCTTAGTATTACGAAAAATAATACTTTGTATTTTATGCTGTGCTTCTGGAATTTAAAAGCCTTCTTGTAAAGCTTTGATCTTTGCAACAACCTCTCTGCTAGGTGAGATGAGTATTGTTTTATCTGCTTTATAGGCAATAATATTCCTTTTGATAAGGATGATTTTACATAGTTTAAATATTTTAGAGAAGTGGACGAAGAGTTGCAGCAACATCAGTAGAAGGGTCCACTGAACATGTGACATGGATCAAAAATATACAGTGCTGAAAACCAAATATGCGTAAGTGTGTGAGTTAATGGGCTTATCAAGGGGAGATCTTGGGGAGCTAATTTCTCCACATACTTCATTGGCATTTCCTACTGTTTTGGGTTTCATCGACAACAAATGTTTTCTGAATCTTTTGTAAAATGCCACCTAAATGCAGCTTGACTGCCCCCTTCCAACACCAAACTCCATGGAGATACTTGGAACCGATGCTAACCCATTCCTGCTTTCGGTTTGGCCGTAATTAGCTACTTAGCTCTAGTCTTGACTTTTCTGAGATTGAGTAATTAATCTTAAATCTTTAAAATGATGGATTACATTTTGATCACTGAGATCACTCCACCTCTGTGTGTCTTATGTGTGATACCCAGGAATAGCCATTTCCATGAGATAGACACCGTAACGGTTTCGCCTAATTGGGGGAAGAAAAAAATCATCAAAGTCATTAAAAAAAGATATTATGTATGTTGGGCGGTGCCTGTGGTTCAAAGGAGTAGGGCGCCGGCCGCATATGCCGGAGGTGGTGGGTTCAAACCCAGCCTCGGCCAAAACAAACAACAACAACAACAACAACAACAAAGATTTTATGTAATTGGTGACAGGCTTTGTTCTATCTGGGAGGAGGAGGAACAGTATGCAAAGTCTACTGGTGATCTCAAATAACTTTGAGATCAGATATTCAGTATGCACAGGCTTGATGTACCTTCATAGAAGTGATTTGGCCTTTGGAATAACTAGAGAAGAAAGGATTCCTGTCTCACAACCATGCCACAAAGATCATGCCAATACAAATGATCCCCAGGAAGTGATTCTCAACTGGAGAAGAACAAGAAATAGTGTGGCCAAAATTCTAACACCATTTGTCAAAACACCCCTTTTCTGGAATACCATTCTTGTAGGTAAATAGATCCAGAGAAAATGATTCTATTTTGTATCCTCAGGTTAGAACCAATATCTTTTAAAATGAGTACTGAGTCTTCAGATCTCTTTTGAACACTCATTACATAGAGGGTACACAGAGTAAGGTTTGGCGCTGTGGGAAAAAAAAAAATCCTAAAAGATAGACCCTGGTGCTCTAAAAAGAACTATTCATCTATCTAGCAAGCTACTGAATTTTTGCACAGACAATAAATGTTTAAAGGTGCAAGCTTAGTTCAAGAAATGACATCACTTTAATCAACACCAGACAAGGTTCAATTTTATTTCGATCTATTAAGTGATGCTGCTTTTGGTCACCTGACATAGCGTGCCAGTGACACGCTATGAAGACATTTTCAGTGTCTTCCATAACAGAGTGGCGGATGATAAGATTTTAATTGATCAATTTCCCTGAGATGGTCACACAAACTTCTTGTTCTGCTTGGCTGCATACGTAGGCACAACAAAGAAGTTAGCTGCTGGTCTTTAAAGTGCCTCGAGGTAAGAGGGGAGAGTGTGGACAAAACAGGTTGAAGCCATAGTTTTTAGGTCTTGGCACCCAGGACTTGATGTAGTTAGCACATGGAGACATTCTAATAATGTTAGAGAACTGAAACAGCAAAGCAGGAAAAGAATGAGTTAGTTGGGCTTGGGGGTCTCAAAGGAGATAGTTCTGATAGCAAATCTAACAGCTAAATCCAAATTAAGCAGCCAATGCCACTCACTCAAAAAAAAAAAAAAGTCTGCAAGATCCTGCCCTCCAAAGCCCCCAAGCGTGATAACTGAGACTACAAGAAAGGACAATGCGTGCGGAATTTGAGAGTTGACTTAATTTCTCTTGAGGGTAAATGTGACTGATCTCTATGATCAGAATTCATTTGTAATACTGAGAAAGTGAGCACTTCAAAGAGTGCAGGAGAAAAAACCCTTCTTCTCCTCTCTGAGATCCTGCATCAAGGAAGAACCATGTCTACAGAAATGAGGAGAAAGTTCTTAGGTTGCTCTAAAACTGAAGTGGAATTAGCACTGGGGACAGAGGGAGATGAGGGAGGAACCCAGAAAAGACAGGTTGTTTACCTGGAAGAAACCCATCAATAGGGAGGCTCAGTCCTACACTGTACTGTTTTTTTTTTTTTTGCTACCTTTTAGACATGAGAGCAGCATTTGAAAAATCCACCCTTTCCCCCTTTTTGCATTGGCTGTCAAGAAGCTCAATGCTGCTTCTGAAACATTAACACATCCACTGCAAATACATAAACAACCTAATATTTTGATGGCTTGCGAGGGATGAAAAAGAAGAGGCTGTTGTAGGGCCAGGGGCTATTGCCTAGAGCTGTGGTTCTCAACCTTCCCAATGCTTCCTAATGCCTCCTAATGCTGCAACCCTTTAATACAGTTCCTCACGTTGTGGTGATCCCCAACCATAAAATTATTTTCGTTGCTGCTTCATAACTATAATTTTGCTACTGTTATGAATTTTAATGTAAATATCTGATATGCCGGATGTATTTTCATTGTTACAAAGGGATCTTGACTCACAGGTTGAGAACTGCTGGCCTCCTGGAAATGGATAGCTAAAAAGTATCAATATTCCCTCAGTGGCAAGCGGGGCACACACACCAGTTGGGAGATTCTGAATGTCTGAATTGGCCTGTTATACATGTATATGTATATACATATATATCCTATACATCATATCTTACGAATTGGACCGTTTTACAGGGTGGCCATAAAATTCATGTGCAATTTTAAAAAGCGAGCATCTAAATATGATATTTTAGGCCCATATATTGGCCTACATTTTTATAGTCCTTACTCTTTCCTTATAATACACATCTTTCTATTTTTTCTTTCTCCTTTCATAACCTTATTACTATTATTTTCTTCTGAGACAGGTGCTCATTCTGTTGCCCAGGTTTGAGGGCAGTGCTGGCATCAGAGCTCACAACAATCTCAAACTCCTGAACTCAGGCCATCATCCTGCCTTAGCTTCCTGAGTAGCTGGGATTACAGGCGCCTGCCACCAAGTTTGGCTAATTTTTCTAGTTTTCGTAGACCTGGGGTCCCGCTCTAGCTTGGGCTGATCTTGAATTCCTGGCCTCAAGCTATCTTCCTGTTGGCTTCCTAAGGGAAAATTACAGGTGTGTGCCACCTTGCCTGTCGCATAATCTTATTTGATTTTAATTTCAAATTTCTCAGTTATTCTATAGGTAACATGTGGTGTACAAATTTCAGGTAATAGTTGTGTCCCCTAAGATGCACGCTATTTTAAATAGTGGTGGCACGTTCACGGTGCACCTGGCACTACGATTTTACTGCTGTAAACCCAGGGCAGTAGTAATAATGCCTGATTCTTGGCAGGGTGAGGAAGCAGCTCTTCTGAGGATTGTATGAAATCAAGTGAAATATGTAGCTAATAGCTGCACCTATAGGTGCACACTCCACTTAATACTCTCTTAAGACACTGGGCTCCCATCCTCACACTCCTCTGGCTTAGTGTACAACGACCAGTACTATCATTTCCCCTTGCGGGGGCAAATGAGTAAAGCAGGCTTCAAGGAGTGGGGCTGGCCCCGATAGCGTAAATACAGGAGGCTAAGCTAGAATTGGGGGTGGTCTCTGGGTTCCAAGCTTTGTTCCAAAACGTCTAACATTTAGGAGTCCCTAGTGTCGTGTGCTGTGTCAGCCACTGGGGTCACGCTAAAGCTTTTTCACGCTGGTCTACGGACTCTCTGGGGTTCTTCCTAGTACAGACCCTGGCGGTGGAGGAATGCAGGGAACCGAGACCGGCCCCGCTCCAGCTCTCGGCAAACAGGTTCCAGGAGGGAGGGAGAGGGCTGGGGGCAAGAAGCCGGCAAGGGTAGCGGGACATCACTTGATTGCTCAACCGTCTTCCGGGAGGCTTTGAGAACGCGAATCATTCCCGTGACGAATAAAGTAGTTGGTTTACTGATTTAATTGCTTCACACACACACCCGCCCCCCGAATTGAGATGCAATGTCTTTTTAGCCAGACTGGCGCAGGCTCTGCGTATTAAATCCAGCATTTCCACCTGCCCACCCCGGAGGGAAGCCCAACAGTCGGGGAACCCTCTCTTAGCTAAGCCTCCTGGTCCTGGTCCTGACGTTAGCCTGGGCGCTCGGGATCCCCGCGACCTCCTCCGGCAAGTCTTCGTGCGGCGGGCTGTCCAGCGTGCTGCGAGCTTTGCAGAAAATCTCCTTTCGGGAGACACTGGGCACCCATCCTGCCACTCCTCTGGCTTGGTTTTCTGCGCTGACGGTCACAGCGAAGGGATCTTTTGCCGCTCGCTGCTGGCACCGCTACCGGGTGCTCAGACACAAAAGATCCAAAATGCGGACGAAACGTCGCTTTAAAAAGCTTCTACAAAATGCAGTTATGCTTCCGTTTTTATGAAAATACATCGATGCGATCATTCATATGCATTTAGAAATACCGGTACCACTCATTCTACGGAGATTGAAAAGGAACACTTGCTGGTAGCAAAGGAAACATTCTCTAGGAAATTCTCTAGCCAAGGAAACACCACTCTTTGGAGCGGTGATGACACAGGGGCATTGAGTTGTCAGAACCGATGTAAACGCCGCACTGTAGACCTGTACATTTTATGATGTGTTAAACTCACGCCAGTTGACAACTCGGAGCCTAATTCGGCTTGTGTATGAAAAGTTACTGTCACGGCATAAGTGCGTATATCAGAGCCAATTACATGTGTCTGTAAATGAGTCTATTTACAGCAATTCAACACAACTTTGCGGGGGGGAGGGAGGTTGTTTATTCAAGCCCCGGGCGGCCGGGAAAAGGAGAAAAGGGGCAGCTGACATCACTGGGGCGGGGCCGCAAGTCCTTAGAAAAGTCGGCGGGACCGGAGCAGGAGTGGCGAGCTGTCTGGCACAGCCTCACTATGAGCTGCTACAACTGCTCGGAGCCCCGGGTCCACTGCAGCCCCGGGCAGCTGTTCCTGCAGCCCCTCTGGGACCGCCTGAGGACCTGGGAGGCCCTCATCCAGTCGCCCTTCTTCTCGGTCATCTTCTCCATTACCACCTACGTGGGCTTCTGCCTGCCCTTCGTGCTGCTGGACTGCCTGTGTCCCTGGGTGCCCGCGCTGCGGCGCTACAAGATCCACCCCAACTTCTCGCCGTCCGCGGGGCAGCTGCTGCCCTGCCTGGGGCAGACGCTGTACCAGCACGTGGTGTTCGTGTTCCCCGTGACGCTGCTGCACTGGGCCTGCAGCCCGGCCCTCCTGCCCCTGGACGCCCCGGAGCTGCTCCAGCTGGTGGGCCACATCGTCATGTGCCTGCTGCTCTTCGACACCGAGTTCTTTGTGTGGCACCTGCTGCACCACCGGGTGCCCTGGCTGTACCGCACCTTCCACAAGGTGCACCACCAGAACCCGTCCTCGTTCGCGCTGGCCACGCAGTACATGAGCGTCTGGGAACTGTTTTCCTTGGGCTTCTTTGACATGGTGAACGTCCAGCTGCTCGGGTGCCACCCGCTCACTGTCCTGACCTTCCACGTGATCAACATCTGGCTGTCAGTGGAGGACCACTCTGGCTACGACTTCCCTTGGTCCACTCACAGACTGGTGCCCTTCGGCTGGTACGGGGGCGTGACGCACCACGACCTGCACCACACTCAGTTCACCTGCAACTTCGCCCCGTACTTCACACACTGGGACAAAATCCTGGGAACTCTGCGGCCCGCGCCAGTGGCGGGGTGCTGATGTGGCTGAAGGGGTGCCCTCTAGACCCGAGACCCTGTGCCTTTCACACTTGAATCAGTAGAAACACATCCGACCTATATTTTTTTAAAGCAACTAACTTATTGACTGATGCAACTGTCATAGATAAAATCTGATGTATTTTTGTAGTCTGACAAAGTAATTTTATATATTTGTGCACCAATACAGTCGTATTCTTGGTGTTAAATTCTAGCTCACTTCAGTAGGCTTGATTCCTGGATATAAATTAGGCATTCATCAGTGGCACATTGAAATCATCTCTAAAGGGATTTGTTGTAAAATAAGGACTACCCTATGTTGGGAAGTGTCTTGGAAGAACCTGGTGAAAAGAACACTTTCTTTTTTCTATGAAGAGTCTTGACTTCTGGTGGTCCTGCTGGACAGTTGACCAAGATTATAGTACGTTTTTCTCTGTTTTTTCCATAGAACTGTATATTTATTTGGAAAGAAATGTTATTTGTGCTTTGGAAAAGAAAAGAAAAAAATAAGAACATGAACCAAATAAGTACTGGCTCCTGTTTTACTGACGTTTAGACGCATAAAAACTAAGAAGGGAGGAGGGCGCTGGGATGCAAGTATCCTGCAGGGTCCCTGAGCCCTGCCAGGGAGAGAGAGGCATGTGGTGTGCGTGGGGGGAGAAGGGTTTTGTTGCTGGGTGGAGGGGAGAAAGAAGCTAGAGAAAGAGTCTGCTTGTTGGTGGCAGCAGTTCTCAGCCTGTGGGTCGCGACCCCTTTTTAACCATGAAAATACATTGTGGCATTAGGAAGGTTGAGAACCACTGGGAGCGTTCACAGAGGGAAAAACACTATTGTTTTGAATGCTTTTCAGCTGATTTCTACTTAATAGGCAAATGATAGAATTACTCCTTAAATTTTACAGAGAGGTTAACACTGGGCAACCATTGGATTATTTGGGGGGAGACCTTGGGGGAATGAACAGAATTAGAGGAGTGCCTTGCTTTGAACAATTGGTAAATTAAGTATTTATGCTAGAGCTGCTAATGGGTACAGGCAGGGATTCTGAGTAAACCCCCCTTTCTATGTAGCCATACTCAGCTAGTGCCAATGATTATCAAGACATTACCTTTGCAATCTGGAATTTTTGTATATTCCATTTTTTAAATTAAGGTATATTTGCAACACATAGAGCCCTTCCTCCAAGAAAGAATAAGTAAGATTTTGCCCTGGAGTTTTGGTTTCTGATCTGTAAAAGGAGGTGCTGTTTCAGATGTTCTTGCAGTTTACTTGTGACAGTAAATGTCTGTATTACTGACCACACCCTTGTCACCCTATCTGGCTGCTGCCTGATTAATTTTTTTCCCATCTTATCCAATGGTAGTATATTTATTCATTGAGGGTACAAAGAATTAGGTTACACTGACTGTATTGATTATTTTACTTTTGTTCTTGAAATGTAGTGCAAAATTAAAAACAAAAATAATTTAGATAAAATGTCACAAAGAATGGCAGTTTTGCAAGTAATTCATAGCTCATGATATATGAGCCAGACCAGCTAGTTTAAAGGTGAAATAAAGGCTGGTCTCCACAGTCTGCCAAATGAAACTCCTGAGAAATATCTTTGAGCTCTCCACTCCAGATGTTTGGCAGAAAGCAGCTGGAATGACTGGCTAGCCAATTTTCTCAAGTTCCCTCCAACAGGTATGTGCTCCCTCTTCTGAAGTTGCCTCATTCTCTGAGCGCAACTTAGAGATGACATTGATTTATAAATGTCAATGAGACCTTAGGGGAAAATGCTAGCTGGGAGATAGTGTATTCTTATCATGAGTCACATTACATCTGCAGAAAGACGAGAAGCACAGATAGGCAGGTGTGGAACATGTGGTGTGACTATTAGTTGTGAGCAGCTGCAGGTACCCAAAAGCTGCCCTGTAAATCTTAGACAATTTATCACAGCTCATCCTCAGAGAACTGCAAAAATGGGTCACGTGGCCTTACCAGGTAAGGGAATTTTTAGATTTGAGGCAAGTTGTACGCGTGGAAAGTATGGTTTAACCTCTATAGCTGACCATCTCCCTATATTGACCACCTCCTTCAGTCGACCTAATTTTCATAGTCTGGACATGCATCACATGTACACGCATCAGCACAGTAGGCCTAGTTCCTTATGTTGACCACCTCTGTATGTTGACCACAGCTTGTTACAGTGTCTCAAGTGGTCAACTTACAGAAGTTTTACTGTATTTGAATTTAGAAATGTTGTCTCAAAGCCAGAAATCTTTTAAATTTTTAATGGCTTGGAAAATGAACTAAGGGAAAGGAGAGGATGAGCAATTTTTCAGAGAGTTTGAGCACCTGCTAGTAATAATAATAATAATAATAATGAAATAGTTCCTATTTGTATGCACTGTGACACATTATTTCACTTGCTGCTTACAGCATCACCCTAAGGGACGTAGCATAGTTATCATCATCACTGTCATCTTCCTGTGTTATAGAAGGAGGATTGGTACCCATACAGGTTATAAAATAGTAGGAATTGGAGCCAGTTCTCTCAAACTTAGGTCTTCCAGCATATATGTGTGTGCGTGAGAATGTATGTTTTTTTCTACCTCTTTTCTGGTAATGCTTATGATAACCTTCAAAACTGGCAGAGAGAAGCAAATCCTGCAACATCAACAAATAGCCTCTTTCTGTTGTCCCTTCTCAGCCACTGCCCCTAAAATACAGAGTTCCCCTTGCCCACTACTTTGGTGTGGATGTCCCTAGATTCAAAGCCTCTCCACAGGCAGGGGAGAAAGCCAAGGAAGGTAGACCTGGCCTGAGGATGGCATCGTCCACACCCTACACTGCACTTGTTCTCAGAGCTTTACTGCTGCGCCAGGTTACCTGAGTGGGAACAGGGTTACTGTGACTTACTAGCGGAGTGACTTGGGACAAGTTACTTAACCTCTGCATCTTTCAGCTTCATTATCTATAAAGAGTGGTTAACCACAGAACCTCCCTTGCAGAGCTGTTGCAAGGGATTTTTGAGTTACTGAAGTGCTGGATGGGTTGGAGGTCCTGGCTGTAGAGGTACTTGATGTGACCAGGGCTTCCTGATGTGAGTGCCAGGGCTGCAGTGCAGGGCTGTAACTTTTTGTCCAAAAACATGCTTGAGCACTCTTGTCTTACAGGGAACCAAATAAAGCTGGGTTTTGATCTTGTTTCCATCATAATTTGCTTCTCCCATTATCCTTTCAAGGCAAAAGTTTTGGAAAGAGGCAGAGGCTACGTTTGTCTGATTACACGTCCTTACCTCTGAGTCATCCCGCCCCACCTCTTCCTGAAACTTTTCCTCTGCCTTCTCCACCATCTAACTTCCTAATTATCAAATACACTTAGCTTTATTTCCCTTGGGTTTTTTTTTTTTATCTCCTTGGCTTTTTTTTTCTTTTCTGGAGGTAAAAGAAATAACTTTTCTTAACCAGGCTCATTTTTGAACGTGGTTCTTGCTTAGCGATAATGATGTTTCTCTGAACTCCTTTCCTCCCTAATTCTCCAGCTGTTTTTCCTCCCTTCAATGGCTCCTCTTCTGCCACAGCAGGAAGTTAAGCCTCAAGGAGCTTCTCTTTTAATTAAAACAAAATCTATATTGTGTGCAATGAATGTCCTTCCTACCAGCTCCTATGTGTCTGTAAATCTCTTGCACTGCATTCTGGTATGCCCACAATGTGTGCATGTGTGTACACACACACCATGTATATGTGCAAATGCATGATATATACACACTATATTTATGCACACACTACACCACACACACAAACTATCTTTATATACTACTATATCCATACCCGCATGTATGATACACTATGTACATATTCCTTATATATGCACCCTATATGTGTACAAATCACACTATATATACTTACATATACTCTGTAGACATGTACAAACATGCTATATATCTCGGGATAGCTATAGATACTATATATGAAAACAAACACCATATATACACACACCCCTCTTCTCTCTCTCCAAACACACACACACACAACTATTTTTGTTCTTTTTACCAGGTATGTCTACCTCTAGTGTTATGCCTAGTTTGATAAATATTGGTTCAATGTTGCATAAACCCTGGAAGCATTAGAAATACACCTTTGCCATCAATCATGTCTGTCTTTATCTGTTCCTTCTTGTTCTTTTCCATCACTCATCCATCCCAACTTCAAAGGCCATGCCCACAACTCAGAATCTCTGTTCCACAAGTCAACGCCTACTAGGAAAGAAAATCAGGCAAGCAAATGCATCCAGTCTAATGTGGTCAGTGCTGTAACATTACCTGGATATTAACAGGCTAATGTCCTGTTAATATCTTTATAGAGAGACCAGAGAGAAACGGCACATTTCAGCTAAGTCGTAAAGGATTTGTGAGGCTTCACCAGGCAGGGTAAAGGGCATACCAGATAGCAGACACAGTAGTTGCAAAATCAGAGAGGGATCAAAGAACCCAACATTCTTAAAACGTGATTGGAAACTCAGTGCACTCGATGAACAAGGGCGAAACTTCAAGGCATGTGTCCAACAGGCAGTTCGGGCCTGGTTTGGGACCCAGCAATAAACATTTGCTGTCTTGCTCCTTGACAAGCCATTAAAACTGCTAGAAGTGTTTGCTCACCTGCCTATGTTGGAGTTTTTGAGAGATCATATTAAAATTGCTTTGAAGCAAATGTTAGGGCTTGCTGTTCGTTGTTGATTTAGATGAATGAATGAACGCGTTGAAAACTAGACTTGGGCAATGGAGGGGGTGGGGAGAGTGTGCTGTAGGTTTTAAGAAAGGAGTGATGTGATTAAATCTGGACTGAGGCTACTGGCAACTGAAAACAGTGGTGGTGATTCCCTTCAAGAGACCGGTGTTGCAAGTTCTGCCTGGATTCCAATTCTGGCTCCACTGCTCATTAACTTCGTGACCTTGAGCAAATTGCCTAATCTCTGTAAGGCTCAATTTCCTCATCTATATAAAAAGGGTGGTAGTTCCTACCC